ATATATATATATATTAAGAAAAGATTATTCTTGGTTTTGAAACGTGTACCTTAAGACAGCCTCTAAATACACGAATATAAACAGAAGATATGTCAAAGAAAGGAAAGGAGTATAAAAATAATGTCAAGAATAGGAACTGATAGGATAAGAGCAGGACACCTCTTTGTCACTGACAAGTGATTCATCTCCCATAACTATACATACCACACGCCTAATTTCGCGGGTCAGCTTGATGAAGTGCAACCAGTCATCATAAACAAACGGATCGTAAATTTCTAAACTCGGAAACTCAGCCACAAGTAACTTGTGGCACATGATCGTTGATTCTAATGAACTCTGTGAAAAGACATTGTTGTGCAGGCAACGGATTAAACAAGCGAAAAAAAGGAGGGAGAAAAAAGGGGGGCAAACATATCTTAGAGATGTTTATACAAAGAGATCACTGAAATATCGGACCATATATGCCTTGAGTAACTAGTACATCAGGTTCGATTTGGGTTTCTGCAACAAAGTATATTTCATTTTAACTTTGGATTGAAATATTAACTCAATTTTACTTTATTTGTTCCATCCACAATCCAAAGTTTCTGTCGTGAACCAGCAGACAAGAATAGACTCCTCACCTCTTTATTGAATTTCCGACTGCTATCAACCATCTTAGATGCAGCACCATGCACTCCAATGCGGACCTAAAACAATGACACGGATTTGGTAAATCTTCAAAAGTCCTCAATCATATCTAAATTCTCAGATGTAACATAAACTGCAAGTTAAACTTACTTTGCCTTTGCATTTATGATTAACAATTTCCGTTTTCAGCAAGTACAAACAGTCCTGTATATCCTAAATTCACAAAGAAAAAAGAAAGTGTAAATAAGCTGGTGAATTAAACTAATAATAATAATAATAATAATAACCATAAAGAGGGTTTTTGTTTTGGGAAGGTGGGGGGATATATCAAAAGATAGAAACGGCACAAATAGGAGCCAGAATCATATCAAGTAAATAACCTGAATATTAAAGTTACCCTTATCATTTTTCTCCAAAGTAAGCTCCTTGAAAGAAAAAAAAAAAAAAAATCTAAAGTAAGCAAGCAACTCTAAAAACATGAATTATCTACAATGTAACATCCATTTAAAAGAAAGTTAAAGAACCTTCAAACAGCAGTCATCTAAATGCTTATTTATCGAAATGGCCAAGGTGAGAAAGATATACAACAATCTAAAAGACTCAAAGAAAATGTAGACGGAAAAAAATTAATAGGAAACTCCACCAGCCAAAGTGAGGAATATCTCGGAGCAATATATCTCAATAACCAAATATTGAACCTCTTGTGTACCTACCATGTCAATCAACAAATGCACTAACACACAAAATTTTAAAAGGCAGAATCAAGCCTCGAGGTGTTTTTCCTTTGTGAGATGCCAATAAAAAATTAAAAATAATATGAATAGTAATCAAAATTAAAATAATACTCATGATAACCATACCAAAAAAAAAAAA